TCAATATTTTTACCTTGTCATCCTTTCACTCACAAAGCAAAACCCCAATCCTGGGTCAATCAACTAACTCCCGTCTTCATTCCTACTGCAGAGTGCTAAGTGCTGATACAGTTGCTTCAACTGTAGCCCTTACAAGTTCAGTCTCACTTTTTATCTCTTTGGTTTTTTTTGAGTTGGAGTCTCACTCCATCGCCCAGGCTGGAGTGCAGCGACACACTCGTGGTCACCCCAGCATCGACTTGCTGGGCTCTGGTGATTCTTCCGCCTCAGCCTTCCAAGTAACCGTAACTACAGGCGCGCGCTACCAAGCCTGGCTAATTTATTTTTATTTTTATTGTAGAGACGAGGTCTCGCCAAGTTGCCCGGGCTGGTCTTGAACCTTCAGGCTTAGACAATCCATTCGCCTCAGCCTCCCAAAGTGCTGGGATTACAGGCTGAGCCACCGCTCCAGGCCTCAACTTTTTATCTTAACACCTGCAAGATAATCATATTTTTGCTCTGACGAAATGTTAAAAGATGCTTGGGCCATCTAAAGTTAAAATCTCTAGCTGAGAGCAGTGGCGTGTCTCTGCAATCCTAGCTACTTGGAGGCTGAGGTGAGAGAATCGCTTGAGCCCAGTTCAAGACCATCCAGGGCAACGAGACCTCATCTCTGTTTATTTTAAAAGGTTAAAATCTCCAGTTGTGTGCTTAAGCCCGTGCATTCCTTCTTCTGAACCTTCACATTGCCCTCCTTTATGGCTTCTTCCCATAGTATGTCGACATGCTCAAATATTCCCCAAACCCCACACACATAAAATCCTCACCACGATCTAATGTCCTTTCCTCTACCTTTAGCTTTATCTTCTCTGTTCACAGTCATATTTTTTTTTTTTTTTGAGTCGGAGTCTCACTCTGTTGCCCAGGCTGGAGTGCAGTGGCATGCTCATGGCCACTGCAGCCTCAACCTGCTGGACTCAGGTGGTCTATCCACTTCAGCCTTCCAAGTAACTGAAACTATAAGTGTACACCACCACACCCGGCTAATTTTTTTTCATGAGTTAAGAAAGATAGATTTATTAAACAGAAGATACATTGTGAAGGGCACAATGGGCAGGACAGCAGTAAGAGTGTCTGCTATCTGCTGCCTAATTTTTTGATTTATTGTAGAGATGAAGTCTTGCCAAGTTGCCCAGTCTGGTCTCAAACCCCTGAGCTCACGCAATCTTCTTGCTTCGGCTTCCCAAAGTGCTGGGATTACAGGCTTGACCTACTGTACCCGGCCTTCTGTATTTTTTTTTTTTTAAGTTGGAGTCTTACTCTTGTTGCCCAGGCTGGAGTGGAGTGGTACATTCATAGCCACTGCAGCCTCGACCTACTGGGCTCAAGCAATTCTTCTGCCTCAGCCTTCCATGTAGCTGGAACTACAGACGCACGCCACCATGCCCGGCTAATTTTTGTGATTTATTGTAGAAACAAGGTCTCAGCAAGTTGTCCAGGCTCATCTCGAAACCCTGGGCTCTGGCAATTCTCCCGCCTCGGCCTCCCAAAGTGCTGGGATTATAGGCTGAGCCACCATGCCCGGCCAACAGCCACATTTCTGAAAGAAATCTTCAAGTTTTTCCTACTTCATCTCCCGTTCTCTACTGAACTCACTGCTAAATAACTTTTCTTCTCAATACTCTATTAATATGCTTGATTCCTGTGTCAAAAGTTTCCAGCCAGGAGCAGTGGCTCAAGCCTGTAATCCCAGCACTTGGGGAGGCCGAGGTGGGAGGACAGCTTGAGCCCAGAAGTTTGAGACCAGCATGGGTAACATAGTAAGGTCTTGTCTCTACAAAAAAATTGGACAGGCACAGTGGTACATGCCTGTAGTTCCAGCTACTTGGGAGCTTGAAATGGAAGCATCACTTAAGCCCAGTTCAAGGCTGCGGTGAGCTGTGATCCTGGCACTGCACTCCAGGATCACTGCCCACCATCCTGGGCTGGGCAACAAACGCCCCCCCCCCAAAAGCCACAGGCAAGCCAGGCAGTCGCTCACAGCTGTAATCCAAGCACTTTGGGAAGCCAAGGAGGGAGGATTGCTTGAACCCAGAAATTTGAGGCCAGCCTAGGCAACAAAGCAATACCTTCTCTCTACATTAATAACAAAAAATTAGCTGGGCATGGTGGCATGTGCTTTTAATCCCACCTACTTGGAAAACTGAGGCAGATTTTTGCCAAATCCAGTGGCCATTTCAGGCTCCTTCTGGTTCCTCTGAAAGCCAGAGACTCCTGGGTTTTCTGTCCTCTTACCTTCCCACCTTGATGGAATACCTTCTGCTCTGTATTGGTATGCCTCTGGCTTCCTTCCTTAGTCCTCTTTCCGTAGTTCACATCACCAGTATCTCTACCCTAGATTATTCCTATGGCCTCTCGAGTTAGCATCCAATCTGGTCTTCCTCCAATGTAGTCTCCTTAATCTTTCTAAAATAAAAATCCAATCATGTTATTCCTTAACCTGAGCCCTTTAATGATTCTTTTTTTTTTTTGAGTTGGAGTCTCTGTCACCCAGACTACAGTGCAGTGGCTGCTCCTGGCCACCGCAGCCTCAACCTGCTGGGCTCTGGCGATCCTTCCGCCTCAGCCTTCCAAGTAGCTGGAACTACAGGCGCGCTACCACGCCAGGCTAATTTTTTGGTTTATTGTAGAGATGAGGTCTCATCAAGCTGCCCAGGTGGGTCTCGAACTCACAGGCTCAGGCAATCCACTCACCTCAGCTTCCCAAGGCGTGGGATTACAGGCTGAGCCACTGAGCCCGGCTTCTTTTTTTTTTTTTGACTTGGAGTCTCACTCTGTCACCCAGGATGGTGGGCAGTGACATGCTCCTGGCCACTGCAGCCTCGACCTACTGGGCCCAGGTGGTCCTTCCACCTCAGCCTTCCAGGTAGCTGGAACTACAGGCATGCACCACCATGCCCGGTTAATTTTTTGATTTATTGAAGAGATGAGGTCTCGCCAAGTCGCCAAGGCTGGTCTCGAACCCGTGGGCTCAGCAGTCTTCTCACTTCAGCCTCCCAAAGTGCTGGGATTATAGGCATGAGCAACCGTGCCCAGCCCTCCCCTCTGTCTTTAAGAAAAGCTTTGAACATCTTAACAATGCATGCAAACCCTTTAAAATCTAGTCGCTGTTAAATAGTAAATCCTCTTTTATTCCTGTCCTCTATCACATGGAAACCATACCGAACTAACTCCAAGTCCACAGATTTATCATGCTGTTCTTTGCCTCTAGGTTCTGCACATGCTGTTCTCTCTGCTTGCAAGCCTTCTCCCTTCTAAACTCCTACTCCTCCCACCTACACATTCATGTGGATAAATCAACTGATACTTCGATACTTCTTTCTGCTTTCTCTGTTGGGTATTTTTTTTTAATTTTTAAAATTTATTTATTTATTTTTGAGTTGGAGTCTCACTCGGTCGCCCAGACTGGAGTGCAGTGGCCGCTTCCGGACACCGCAGCCTCGACCTGCTGGGCTTCAGCGATCCTTCCACCTCAGCCTTCCCAGTAGCCGGAATTACAGGCGCGTGCTACCACACCTGGCTGAATTTTGTTTTATTGTAGAGACGAGGTCTCGCCAAGTTGCCCAGCTGGGTCTCGAACCTGCGGGCTCAGGCAATCCACTCACCTCAGCCTCCCAAAGGCATGGAATTACAGGCTGAGCCACGGAGCGTGGCTTTTTTTTTTTTTTAGGTATTTTTCTAGGCTGTTTCTGAGCTGGAGAGTGGGGTTTGGACCAGGGAATGTTAACATGTGATAAGGCTGACTTTTCTTACATCAAGACATTTTTCTTGAGTAAACTCAGCCCACATCACTGGAAGCCTTTAATTCATTTCTGGAGGTCTGAAAAAGTTGATTTTGACCATATATATTTTTCATTGCTTTTGTGGAAGGGTGAAATTTTGAGAGTCCTGAGTGACTTTGCCATTTTCACTGATGTCACCATTATCAAGGCCTTCTTGAGATGGGGTTGGCAAACCTTTCCTTCTTTCTGAATGCAGTCATTTCTACATATCAGTTCCAAATATTAGGAAAGAAAACTCTGAATAGACTATAGTCTGATACATAATGGCATAATGGATAGCATGATCAACTGGGATTCATCTAATGGATACAAGCACGGCTTTTTTTTAGGTTGGAAAATATAGTTTATTTAGAAAGTAAATGAGAGACAGAGAGACAGGCAGAGAGAGAAAGAGAGAGAGAGAGAGAGAGAGAGAGAATATTCACCTCCCCAAGGTAGGGGAAGGGGCCAAAGTCAGGAAACATGGTGGCCATAGCTCGCGGGTAGCACTTCTAAAAAGCCTTCCTGACTCTACAACTAGTTAGGTACTCCCCAACTAGATCCATAGCATCACACCTACCACTGTCTTAGCCTGTATTTGTTAATCTGTCATAATTGCTTGTCTGTTAGACTGTAAGTTCCTTGAGAACAGTGACTGTGCCTTGTTCACAAACATATTCCCCCGTGGTTAGCACAGCGATGGAGAGACAGTATAAATTCAGTGTCTGTTGAATAAATGAGTACATACTGTACACCCTTTTAATTAAATTTTTTTTTGTTTGAGTTGGAATCTTACTGTCGTCCAGACTGGAGTGCAGTGGCCGCTCCCGGCCACCGCAGCCTCGACCTGCCGGGCTCCGGCGATCCTTCTGCCTCAGCCTTCCGAGTAACCGAAATTACAGGCGTGCGCTACCACGCTCGGCTAATTTTTTGATTTTATTGTAGAGATGAGGTCTTGCCTGCCCAGGCGGGTCTCAAACCCGCGGGCTCAGGCAATCCACTCACCTCAGCCTCCCAAAGCATGGGATTACAGGCTGAGCCACCAAGCCCGGCGATTTCTTATTTTCTATCATTCAGCCTATGGAAGGAATGATCTGAATATAAATACACCATATTTTGTAGAAGTAATCTTAAATTACTTGACTGCTAAATTGTAATCTCTTAAATTTCTCCTACATTGAGAAAAGTCTTAACACACAGTGAAAAGAGACAATAAAAGGAGGTTTTTTTTATTCAAAGGTATAACTGGATAAGTGGTTTCGTTTACAACCATTCTTGTGAAATACTTTTTAAAAAAATACGACCAACTTCTTTTCAAATAGCAGACACATACCTCAACTATGATGACCTAATTTTTGGTGGATAATGTACATGATTAGGCAAAAACAGGCAAGCTCACACTGCTAGATTAACCATCAAACACTCAGTCAAAATTCCGTTTGTGGCCCCCGCTTCTTGATCGATTTCTATTCCCACTTCGTCTTCTACCATCCTGTCGACTTCCTGAGCGACTCCCCTGTCGACTCTGTCTACCTGATCGGCCACCAGATCGACCACCTGACCGGCCTGACCGGCCCGACCGGCCACTTGACCAGCCACTCCTCTGTCTGGAATTAGAAGATGTGTTTCCATCATAATATTCTTCAATTTCAGGTAATTTGGCCGGAACTGCGAGTATCCAGTCTGAATCATGCCACTCTGCCTGTTGGGGAAATTTAAATGATTAATATAAATACAAAATAGAAACCATAAGCAAGTACTTGAGAATAGGAGACACTTTCTTCATATCCATTATCTATTAGCTAAAGGCCATCTATCTGTTAAATTCAAAGTATGCAGAACAAAAAATGAAAACCAGGTCAAGCGTGGTAGCTCACGCTTGTAATTCCAGCACTTTGGGAGGCCGAGGTGGAAGGACTGCTTGAGTCCAAGAGTTTGAGACCAGCATAGATAACAAAGCAAGACTTCCATCTCCACACACACACATGTGCACACATATACACACACAAAAGAGAAAAAAGAAAAAGAAAAACCAGAAAACAAGCAAAACAAAATGTTCAAACTAAACTAAAGTTAAGTTTTATTCTCAAACTTCTTAACCATTTTGAGACTCAATTCATACTCAAGACTGGGCACAGTGGCTCAGGCCTGTAATCTCACCACTTTGGGAGGCTAAGGTGAAAGGATCACTTGAGGTCAGGACTTCGAGACCAACCTAGGCAACATATAGGGAGACCTCATTTCTACAAAAAAATAAAACTAGCCAGGCGTGGTACATGCCTGTAGTCTCAGCTACTCAGGAGCTGAGGAGGAAGAATCGCCTGAGCCCAGGAGTTTGAGGCTGTGGTGAGCCTTGATCACGCCACTGCATTCCGTTCTGGGTGACAGAGTGACAACCCGACTCAAACAAAGAAAAATTATAAATAAATAAATTCATACACAGTTTATGCATTCTAAAAGAGAGCACTATCTGGTTTTTTATTTCTCTGCACAAAGCAGATAAGCCATTAATAATAAGTAATGCATTGTTTTTAGCAGATATACTAACAGATGCATAAAGTAAGAGATCTAATCGTGGAAATTAAACACTTGTCAGTACCAGCCAAGCACTAAAAAATGTAGCCACAGGAAAAATTTGAAAATGGAGTAAAGTGAAGATATATAAATCAGTAGCTCCTAAGAGCATCGCTATGTTGTATTTTGCTATATTAACTGTTCTTCATTGCAATCAGCAGTTGCCAAAGAAAGTTAAATTAAAACACTCTTGGTAAGAGTGTCTTATGAATACCCTTTTTGAGAAGAGACAAACACACACACACCACTGGTTGAACTGGCAATATATGACCCAAAGTCTTAAAAATGCACAAACAAGCTGGGCTCCATGGTTCAGTCAGTAATTCCAGCGCTTTGGGAGGCTGAGGTGAGAGGATTGCCTGCCCGCGGGTTCGAGACTCGCCCGGGCAACTTGGCGAGACCTCATCTCTACAATAAATCAAAAATTAGCCGGGCGTGG